GAAACTAAAAGAGATAGATGAGGAGGAAGTGAAGGGGGTGGCAGGCAGCATGTGTCCGGCGTTACCCCACCGTCGACGTCTCATACCACGGAATAAATATTTGCTCGGTGCGTTGCACGAACGGAGGAGAGAGACTGCAACGCCCGTATCTCTCTCTTTCTCTCTTTCTCTCTCTGATACAGAGAAAGAAGAAGAAGAAAAGAGAGGATAAAGAGTACTAGTAGAAGCTCGGCATTCGCTATTTTTACGCGGCTCACTTTTACAACAGGTTACGGGCGCGTGCAGGCGTTTTCGCGTAAAAGAGCGGGGGGAAAAAGAACTAGAGAGAAAGAGAGAGAAAGTTAAAGAGAGACGGAAAGACATTATACATGAGAGTGAGTGAGAAAGAAAGAAGGGAAAAAAAAGAGAGAGAGAGAGAGAATTGAGTGAAGGAATAATAAAAGCATAAAAAAAAAGGCCAGTCGACTGACTCTCTCACACCAACGTGACTCTACCAGAAGCTTACCACTCTCCTCTTCCTTCTCACTCTCTCCTCCCTCCTCCTCCTCCTCCCACCCTCCTCTTTCACTCTATTTTCTTTTTTATCAAGATTTTTTTTAAACAAATTCTCGATGCTAGCCCGAAAAAACGGGCTAAGAATAATCGTGTCCCGAATAGGGGTTGGAGAGGGGAGGTAGAGGGTGAAAAATATAAAAAAAAAAAAAAAAATAGGAAATAAGGAGGACAAAAGAGACTCTTTTCTTAGAGATAATTTTTCGATAAGAATAAAAAGGGAATTATTGCAAGACCTTTTTTTTTTTTTTTTGAAAGATTGTTAGATTTTATTTCTAAATGAAAAGGGGGAAAAAAAAGAAGGATACTGAGAATATAGATTTGAACTGATGATATTAACAGATTATATTCACATTTTTCGATATCTTTCTATTATATTTCGGATGTGTGAGAGTTCGAATATTAAGTATTTAAAAAGAAATGGTGAATAATACGATACCGACGGATATATATTGTTCTTTTTCGAGTATCTC